ATAACTATAAGTAATCATACTATAAATTTTTAATGTAATATTATAATTAATAAATTTTTAATCATTTAATTAAGTTTGTACTAATATTTATAATAAATATTATAATTGATAAGTAATATATATAAATCTATAACGTAATGCTATAATAATTAAATTTCTAATGATAAGTCAATTAATTAAGTAGTAATCAATTAATGTAATGCTATAATTAATTATACTATAAATCAATTAAGTAATGTTATAAAATTATAATTAATTAAGTAATCATTTAACTATAATGTAATGTTATAATTGATTAAGTATGATATTTAACTAGTAATTAAATTTATTAATGTTTATCAATTTATCATATATAATTAATTAATTACTAATTTATTATAGATATACTTAGAACTTGATAATTGAAGTAAATAACTAAATATATTATTACTCAATCAAATATACTATTTTATTCAAAAATAATTCTTTTAATAACATTAAAAATGTAAAACACTTTTAATTGGATCATAATTCCAATTATTCACTTAATTGATCAAAACTTTAATATTAATGTATTATAATATATTAAAGCTTTTAATATGGTGTAATTTATATGTAATAAGTATAATTGTATTCGTATATTTATTTAATTAGGTTATTCTAAAAATTTAACTTTTTCTATTTTAACTTTTTTTATATGTAAAATAATAGAAACTCCCCCATTATTTACATTTCACAAATATTTTATTATAGTCTAGGTTCCAAAATAGGTTCTAAACATGTTCCAAAAACAGGTTCCAAAACAGGTTCCAAACAGGTTCCAAAACAAGTTCCAAAGCAGGTTCCAAAACAGGTTCCAAACAGGTTCTAAAACAGGTTCCAAACCGGGTACCCCTTACAGGTTCCAAACAGGGTACCCTTTTTACAGGTTTCGGTTCCGATTCTGGTTCCTCCACATGCAAGAACCGGAACCGGAACTGCACAGTAGCGGTTCCAAAAAATTGGAACCGGAACCTACCTGCACAGTGCAGGTTCTGGGTAGGTTCCAGTTTCGGTTCCGATTCTATCCGCTACTCGTGTTCACCCCTAATTGTAATCCATAAAGATGGACGGATGGTTATACATCTTCTACCGTAATGCAATACTTGAAACAGTCTAATAAAAGTAAAAACAAGGTGACCAGTAATGATTCAAAGTTCAAACATGATAAGGATTCAAAAAAAAAAAAAAAAAGGAATATTTAAGTCTGACATAAATTGTTATAGATGTGATATTATTGAAAAAAAATTAAACCACTCAAATCGACCATAAATATGGAGACGCATCAATCACGACTACAGAGTACAGACACGTAGAACAAAACGCAAGTATGGTGTTCAATTGCTCTTTTCTTCAGGAACTTTATGTGGCTATCAATCTTTCGTACTTCGATGATTAATTAGATTCTCAACACTGCCTAACGATTTGAGGAACACAATATTTTGGCTCCTCTCCACACATAACCTCGTTAAATTATAAATCTCTGATAAGATACTTTATACTCTTCAATAACGATTGATTTATATTGAGCTATCTCATACGTCATGAACAAGTTCTATTAACATTATGAATACCTTATTATGAGTTTATAGGTGAATTCAATATTGTTATTTGCTATATATAGTTTCTAAAGATGATTAAAATCAAATTTTTTGGTAGGTATGGACTGGGTATGAAAGTGCTCACCGCTCAGTATATGCCATTGAAAGTAATGTATACTATTTTTTTTTATTTTGAAAATAATTTTATTGTAAACAAGGTTCAACGTTTCTAGATTGTTAAATAAATCCAACACAAAAAAAAAAAAAGAAAAAAGAAAAAAAAAAAGGAATATTTAAGTATGACATAAATTGTTATGGATGTGATATTATTGAAAAAAAAATTAAACTACTCAAATCGACCACAAAATATGGAGACGCATCAATCACGACTACAGAGTACAGACACGTAGAACAAAACGTAAGTATGGTGTGACTAAGTGAGAGTGTTCAATTGCTATTATCTTCAGGAACTTTCTGTGGCCATCAATCTTTCGTACTTCGATGATTAATTAGATTCTCAACACAATTTTGGCTCCACTCCACACATAACCTCGTCCACATACCTAGATTTTTTTATCCGTTGAATTGAAATTACAGTGAATTAGGAGCACGCAAAATTTTGAGGCCCAGATTTTGAGAGGTGTAGGTTCTAGTAACATTTCACCCTCTATATATTTACGTGCCTTAGCAAACACACGCAGTATCCATTAATTTGACCAAAGTTAAATACTTGCATTAGTATTAGTGCATAAACAATGGTTTCTGAGCTTTTGTGCTTGCAGCATCCTTGCTCTTTGTTTCACAAACCTTGTACATTTTATCCGCCACACAGTCACAGAGATCGTCATGGCAGTCTCAAGGTTTGTTGTTCAGTTGCTCCTCAAAATTCCCAATTAACAGTAAACCGACGGTCAGCCAATTATCAACCAAGCACTTGGAATTATGACACCTTGCAGTCATTGACCAGTGCTCAAGCTGTAAGTATAATTAATATTATACGGTTATACCTATTTGATATTTTAAATTTCATACATTAATTTTTCAAATTTATTTTCTTCTAGTATCTTTTAAGATTTCAATAAATATATATATATTTTTAAAATTAAAGTATCAAATTAACAAGATTTTAAATCGAATTCAAGTATTACATAATGATGTTAGTACTTTAATGAATTAAATAACAAATTTGGCTGTGTTTGTTTTACTATTTTCAAAATCCAATTATATTCTATTCAACTTAAAATCCGTTTGGTTTGTTATTTTAGATAGGATCTTGGAAATAGTTTTGGATAGTTGAGTACGGTGATTATTACGAGATAAAATTTAAAATTTAACAAAAAACCTAATAGGTTTGCTAATTTAACTAACCACCCCAATATATAATTTTTTTTTAAAATGACAAAAACACACCCACCCACCCACAGTGCCAGATTCCGGCCACTACCACCGGAATCTGGCGTTAAGACTCAGACCGATCGGATCTGGCTAGTCATGCTTCGATCTGGTCAAAAAATGCTAGATCTACGGCCAGATTTGGCCGTCGACGGTCGCAAAAGCCAGATCTGGCTGTTAGAGACAGCCAAAGAGATGGCAGTCGTTGACTGTCAATGACGGCCATTTCTTTGGCCGTCGCTGACAGCTAGATCCACCATGGATCTGGCCAGAAAAGGTCAGATCGGTGAATTACCGGCCAATTCCGGTCATTTTTACGTCGTTGTGACAGATTCCGGCCACTATCGATGGTGGTTGTCGGAATCTGACAACTATGGGTGGGTGGGGATATTTTTGTTAATTTTTAAACTTTTTTCTAGGGGTGTTTAATTAAATTAATAAACTTAAGGGGTCTAAAGAATTAAATAAAATATAATAGTATTTCATAAATAATAAAACAAACAGTTATTTTGGGAATATGGTAGAAAATAAAGAACTAAACGGATAAGTTTATTAATTTAATTAAACACCCCCAACCAACCGGTCGTGCGCCATTCCGATGATTTTTGGTCACCCTCTGTCGGTAATGGCTAGCTGTTGGCATTTAGTAGGCAGGTAAAAGTGTTTTTATTAATTTTAAAACTTTTATTATAGAGGGTGTTTAACTAAATTAACAAATATAGATGATTAAAATATTATCTTATCAAATACATTTTTTAATTTAAATTTTATCCTCGTGATAATCATTCACCTCAATTTAAAAAAACAAATGCTGTTCAAACTAATAAAACAAACACACATAAATCTTTGAAAAGACGTTTTCTCTTAATTTCATGTATAGTTTTTTTTTTTTTATTAGTACACGTTATTCATATTTGGATTTTGGGCCACGATTTATTGTCTTTTTTTTTTTTAAAGTAACGTCATCAAAGGCTCGAAGCTTCTTTTCAGACTTTCAGTAACACTAAGGAAAATAATAGAGTTATCGAAAAGTTTATACCGAATTTGTGTATCGAATGACGTAACAAAATCCTGACTATTGATTAATATTAACTGATAATAAATAAACAGTCAGGATTTAACTACGTCATTCGGTATATAAATTCGGTACACACCTGTCGGTAACTGTAACATTACCGTAACACTAATACAATGTTGTTGAAGTGGTTTGACTTAAATAACATTTAGATCTCCAACACGAGCTAATGACAGCAACTCATTCACTTTCAAGTTTCAACAACTCATTTCATCTTTTACAGTTTACACTTAAATCTTAATCATTATCTTTACTTCTTATTGGATGTTTAAATATCTTTAGTCGCTCTCCATTACAAGTTTGAATTCAAACTTTTCAAAATATATTTTATAATTTTTATTTTACATTATGTTTTTCAATCATCTCAAATAATATCTCAAACTTTTTGTCATTAGAAATTATGTATCATCTCATTTTCATCTTTTCGTTTCAGTTATATAGAGTGAACTAAATATATATTTTTTTTTAATAAAAATTTTAATCAGCATTAACAACTTAAATTACATAAATAGTTTGAGATTATACATATTTCTGAAATTTTATTACTTCAAATTCTATCAAAATGAGTTTATAAACAGTGTTCCATGAAAGGTGATGATAAAGAAATTATTATAATTAGTAAATCATTATATGTCTTTCTTGTGGTTGGAAAATGGAAATGATTCCAAGAATAATACTTCCTCCGTTTCAATATAATTGTTGTTTTAAGTTTTTACACAGTTTTTAATAAATCAAAAAACTGTACAGAGAATTGATGTTTTTCCTCGTATTGTTAAACAATCCAAAGAAATAATAAAAAGACGAGGCTAGGGTTTCATTGATATTGCACAATGCAATTGAATACAAAAAAATATGATTTAACCTAAATACAAAGATATATATAGGCTAAATAAAGGAACTAATGAAAAAATAAATCTACCCTTAATAAACAATAAAACAAAATAACCCATATTTCTTAACATCTTCCCTCAAACTCACGATGTGGCGGCTACAAGCATCGAGAGTTTGCCAACTAGAAAACGAAAACGGGAAATAGAATGCGACTTGGTAAAGAAATCTGCAATCTGCAAAGAAGAAGAAACAAATGGCAAGGTAATGGTGCCATGCTTGAGGTGATGACGAGTAAGGTGACAATCGATCTCAATGTGCTTAGTTTGTTCATGAAAAACCGAGTTGTGAGCAATCTGAATAGAACTCTGGTTGTCACAATACATAGGAGTGAGATGAGAAAAAGAAACTCCCATATTTGCAAGTAACCAACGTAACTAAACAATCTCTTTGGTAGTAGATACCATAGCACGATATTCTGCTTCGGTTAAAGATTGAGAAACAATTGATTGTTTCTTGCTCTTCCAAGAAATAAGAGAATCACCCAAAAAGATACAGAAACCAGTAATAGACTTGCGATCCATGGGATCACTGCCATGATCAGCATCAAAGTATGCACGCAGCTCCAAGGAAGAGGTGGATGGAAGTAAAAGACTCTGAAAGACTGTACCCCGAAGATATCGCAAAGTACGAAGAACAGCTGCCCAATGATCTGTAGTAGGAGAAGCAACAAACTGACTAACAACATGAACATCATATGCAATATCTGGACGAGTAATAGTGAGATATACCAAACTCCCAACAACAGTACGGTATAAAGTAGGATCTGACAAAGGTAAACCATAAGAAGAAGAATACTTTGCGTTAACCTCAATCGGAGTATCTACAGTCTTATTATTAGTAAGTCTAGCCCGCTCAAGAATATCTGCAACATATTTCGATTGAGAGAGAAGATAACCTCTAAGTGAGTAGGCTACCTCAATACCCAAGAAATATCGTAGAGAACCCAAATCCTTCATTTCAAACTATTAAGATAACTCTGTCTTCAAAACTGAAATACCATCAATATCATCACCAGTAATAATCATGTCATCAACATATAAAGACAAAATGATACGACCTGCATCAGTGCACTTAACAAAAAGAGCAGAATCATGACTACTAGAAGCAAATCCAAGGGAAGAGATCACAATAGAAAATTTCTCAAACCAAGCATGAGGTGCTTGTTTAAGACCATATAACACTTTCTTCAGCTTGCAAACATACCCAAAATCATGTGAAACACCAGGAGGGGGCGCCATATAAACTTCTTCTTGAAGATCTCCATTCAAGAAGGCATTTTTAACATCAAGTTGAGAGATATGCCACTGACGAACCGAAGCTACTGCAATAAGAGTACGAATAGTAGTCATTTTTGCAACAGGAGCGAATGTTTCCTCATAAGCCATACCATACTGTTGAGAGTACGCTTTTGCAACCAACCTAGCTTTGTATCGCTCAATAGATCCATCAGAATTAGTCTTGATCTTATACACCCAACGACAACCAACAACAGTCTTACCAGGAGGTAGAGGAACCAAATCCCAAGTACCTGTCTTATGCAAAGCAGAAAGTTCCTCATCCATAGCTTGCTGCCAAAGAGGATCAAGAATTGCCTCTTTATAGGAAGAGGGCTCAGAGAGACAATGAATAGAAGCTAAAAAAGAAGCAAAAGATGAAGAATAACAAGAATAAGCAAAATCTGGTAACTTTGTGGACTTACGAATGCGTATGGATTGACGTAGAGGTGGATCCACAATCTCAGACGAAGCTTGAGTGACCATAGGAGAAGAGGGAGCTTCAGGTGTGCTGGAGAGTAAAGTGTCAGTACCTGCAGAATGATCAGTACTAGGAACCTGAGATGACAAACTATCAGAATCCTCAGAAAAAGGATCTATACGAATTAGATCAGATCTAGTCAAGGTATGAGTAGTGGATGGAATAGAAAAGAAAGGTATATGCTCAAGAAAAACAACATGACGAGACACATAAAGTTTCTGAGTTATTGGATCAAAACAACGATACCCCTTTTTACCTTCACCATAACCAAGAAAGACACAAATAACAGATCGAGAGGACAACTTGCTGCGTTCTACATGAGGACGAAGAACAAAACAAGTACAACCAAAAACTTTAAAGGAAGAATAATCAGGGGCATACCCATACAACTTTTCGAAAGGAGAAAAACCTGAAATATGAGAAGATGGAATTGTATTAATCAAACCTACAGCAGTAAGAACAGCTTCACCCCAAAACACACTAGGAACAGAGGAAGACAATAAGAGAGAACGAGCAGTTTCAACAATGTGCCTATGTTTTCTTTCAGCCACACCATTTTGCTCAGGAGTATCTGTACACGAGGTTTGGTGAACAGTTCCATCTAATGCAAGCAACTCACAAAATTTATTAGAAGTGTATTCCCCACCCAAATCACACCTAAAACATTTGATAATAGCAGAATGTTGAGTTTTGACAAGAGCTCGAAAGGCTGTATATATCTCAAAAAATTCAGAACGATGTTTCATTAAATAAACCCAACAATAACGAGTATGATCATCAATAAAAGAAACATAATATCGAGACCCTCCTTTTGTGGCAACAGGAGAAGGTCCCCATACATCAGAATGAATCAAATCAAATGGAGAAGAAGAAACAGAAATACTTCGATTAAAAGGTAAAGCTGAAAATTTTGCCAGTTTACATCCACTACAATCAGAAATATCACAAGTTTGCAAATTTCCTAAAGCCCCTGTGGATGCCAAAAATCTCAAACGAGAAGACGAAACATGACCTAAACGAGAATGCCATAAATAAAAACTAGAAGAAGAAGGACTCAAACGAAAAGAAGACAAATCAACACTAGTAGCGGCAGCATCAGCACTAGTAGCAGCAGCAGCAACTGGCACTTTTAACTCATCCAAAATATATAGTCCCCCCTTCCTACGGCCTGTCCCAATCAGCTTCTGAGACTGTAGATCCTGCACATAACAAGAAGAAGAGGAAAAGGTGACTAAATTACCAGAATCACATAACTGACCAACAGAAGCAAGATTTAATGTAAGTTTTGGAATATGATAAACATTAGAGAGAGACAAGTGAGGTGTGACAACAGAACCAACACCTGCTAAAGGCATAGGAGTGCCATCAGCAGTCATGACAGGAATAGAAGACGAAGGAGACACAGAAGCAAAAGATGAAGAATCCGGAGACATATGATGTGAAGCACCATAATCCAAAACCCATACAGAATGTGACATACCTGAAGAACTATGAGGGAACTGACCTACGGAAGAAGAAGCAGACATAGCTTATGGCTGTAAGGAGAGAAACTTCTGAAATTGCTCAGCCAGAGTACTAGGATCGGTGAAAGGACCTGATGAAACTACTGCTGCAGTATTAGATTGTGGTGGTTTGTAACCTGAGGTGGTCTATGAGCATTAGATTGTGACTGGTTGCCAGGCTTCCAAGCTTAAGATTGCTGCTGCGATTGATTCTGCTGCCTCAACTTAGGACACTAAGCCTTCCAATGACCTTTTTGCTTACAGAAACGGCACTCGTCAAAGGCAACCATTGTGTAAGGCTTATTCTGATTATTAAAGACTGGTTTTGAAGGTACTGCTAACACAGAAGGATTAGAAGTAGAAAGAATTCCATTTTCAGAATGAGACTTAAGACATATTTCTTCAGCCAATAACTCACTGACAACTGAGTCAACAGAAAGAAGTGGAGAACGATGCAAAATTGAACCTCTAAGTCCTTCAAAATCACTGCGAAGTGCCATTAAAAATTGTACCAACCGTTGCTGCTCCCTACGAGCAATATAGCACCACATGCCTTTAATTCTGCAGATTCTGTAAGAGCCAATTGATCCCAAAGATCTGTCATAGCAGAATAAAACTCATGAACACTCATATTCTTCTGCTGAAGAGCTCGTATGTCATTCTCCAATTGATACTGCTTTGCAAAATTTGACTGAGTAAATAACCTTTGCAGATGATCCCAAACCTCCTTTGCTGTCTCATACTTTGCTAACTGTGTACCTATGGAATGCCCAACAGAATTGTTAATCCAAGTAATAATTTTTGCATTGTTTGCTTCCCAGACAGCTATCAAAGCATCATAACCTTCATCAGTATTCTTAGGTTTCACAAAAGTTCCACTAACATATCCCCACATCTTTTTACCCTTAAGAAAATTTCTCATCACATAACTCCAATACGAATAATTCCTGTCATCTAACCTCACACTCACAGACTAAAGTGAACGTCTCTTTCAGTAGCCATATTCAAAAAACAAAGAAAACCAGAATGCAAAAGAAAGGAAAACGAAATACCAGATTACAGTTGGATCCGCGTAAGCTGTGTTTAAGATTAAGTCTCATCCCATGAAACCTTGCTCTGATGCCATGTTAAACAATCCAAAGAAATAATAAAAAGAGGAGGCTAGGGTTTCATTGATACTGCACAATGCAATTGAATACAAAAAATTATGATTTAACCTAAATACAAAGATATATATAGGCTAAACAAAGGAAATAATGAAAAGACAAATCTACCCTTAATAAACAATAAAACAAAATAACCCATTTTTCTTAACAGTATTGCAGGTGGGAAATTTTTGTTTTCCTCACTGCAACACGTGTGAAATATTAAAATAAAGAGAGAGAAATTGTGAAAGAGAGGAAACAAGGGGAAGAGATAGATAAAGAGAGAGAGGATTGTGGGGCAGGGTAGAGAAAAAGGTAGAGAGAAGAGATGAGGGGCAGGGTGGAGAATGAAGATGTGAGTCAGAAAACATTGAAAGAAGGGAACGTCAATCATTTTGAAAAAAATTAATACTCTCAAAATGACTTTTATAAAGAAACAGAGGGAGTATATTTTACGGTTTACTAACCATCACCTTGTCATTGTGTAAAATGCATCACCTTGTAAAATGCTGACTCCATGCATATTGTCAGTACCTAATTCACGCATGTGAATCTCGTTGGACACTCTCAGGCATTAATCAAAATACCATAACACCTCTGAATTAGTAACATACACTATTCCAAACTAACTCTAACTTGATCATTTGAACTACAAACATTAGCAACAACTGCAATGGCACTCCATCTCTCTTGCTTGCCTATGCCTCATTCACAGCCCCAGGTTCAGAGTCTTTACAGAGGTCGACCTAGATACCATATACAAACAGCGCATGATGGCGTTTTAATAATTCCACAAGTTAGATGTTCAGTGACAGTGACTACACAAACTTCCACTGCTCCACATCCACGACGATCTGCAAATTACCAGTCAACCATTTGGAATTACAATTTTCTCCAGGCGCTACGTATTGATAATTTGGTGATTAATCAAGGGCCATTGCTTCATCTCACTACAAGAAAACTGGCATTCTGCGTCTAGCAAAATTAGACGCAGAAAGTCACATTTAGACGCTAA